GTAAGTCCAAATGTGCTTTTCCCCAATATTACTTGTAAGTGATCCTGAAAGCCAAAGCACAGTTATATCAGTTTGATCTTCTAACTGCACCCTTAATAAGCAACATGCTGCAATCAACTTTTTTTCTGGACAGATAAAATCTTAAATTTGACTGTTAAAATAATGTTAATATATTATGAGGAAAAAGTCAAAGCTAAGTTTAAAAGTGGGTAGAAAAGTTCAGAAATGGCAAAACAAGTGTTTAATTTTTTCAGTTCTGAACATTTTAACAGTATGCATTGATCAAAGCATTCAAGAAAACAGTCAGTCTACTGTTTTCTGTTATCATTAGATTAGACAACTGCATTACATCCTTAAATCCAAAAGAAAAATGGAAACTTTAACTAGAATAAGAAATATTTAGAGAAGCAAAGAGAGAACATCAAAAAATTATTCAAAACTTTTTGCACTTTTTTTAATTTAATAAAAAAAAAAAACAAATCACTTTTATTNAAACTCGAGACTAAGGGCCCTGGCATAATGCAGTTTTTGAAGCTACTGGGCATGATTAGAAATTAAGACAGCATAAGCACAATTATTCCAGATATTACAAGTTCTGACAACAACGTGCGGCCCGGGGGACACATACGGTCGGTCCCCTTTTCAATGTTTATGCGGCCCGAGGACGGTACAGGCCAAATCCTTTCTTTCGAGGTTTCTAAGTATAGAACTATTTCTCTTTCAGAAAGTCATTAGCACCCAACTGTTTTATGACTTTCCCTGAGGTGAGAAATGGGGGTTGAAGTTCTTCTATTTCTAGCTAACACACTTCCTAGTTTATATATATGGAATATTTTAAGTCTAATATATAGTATTATAACGATTTTTAGAAGAATCAAATAGAATAAAATGATCTTAGAACGTCATTTCCGATATTATCAGAAGTTTCTATTTTGGCGGGAAATTTTCAATTTTATGCTTCGGAAAACTTGCTTATTCATCTAAATACGTCAAATAACATAAAAATGAGTGAAAATAGCGCTGAAAAACCATGAAAATAACGATTTTTTAGCATTTGTTTACATTCTAGATTCTGATTGGTATAGTCGAATTTGAATCATCTTTTTGAAAAGACGCTTAATCGTGAACTTAATGTCATTCAAACTAGAAAATACCAATTAGAGTTCAAAAAGGAATGTACAAAAGCTATAGCAACCAATTATTTACAAAAAATAGACTAACAATAGAAAAATATTTTTTCGCGCCAAATTTTTAATTATTACGTTGGACCAAGAAAATTAATAGCTGGAATAGACGACTCATACGACTAAAAGGAAGCCGATTGCACTAAAAAGTTTTGAATTTAATAATTATTTCAAACAGGTGCAACCGAGTCAAGTAACATGGCTAATAAGGGCGTTGCTCATTTTTATAAAAATATAAAGGAGATCATATAATAACTGGTTAAGCTGAGAAATTCAGCTTGCCTTAACCCTAGTATGTGTACTAAAATTACATAACAAATGGGTTTTTATTGCCCATATGGTTGAATAAAATTACACAAATAAAAAATTTTTAAAAAACATAGTTGATCAAACATTTTTGTATTGTTATATCGGGCAGCTCGACTTAATTATTTCTAACCGCGTGAAGTCATAAACTCTCCGTGATTATCAACACTGCCCGCGGCTAAAGTAATTGGACTCCTTGTGTCAACAAAGAGGGTTGTAAAATGGTCCGGCCCCCTGGTCAGTAAACTTAATCAAGTTGTGCAGCCCAGTGACAAGTAAAGAATTTTCAGAGTCCTGTCACAAATAGGCTACAAATTGATTATTGACAATCTGTGACTTGCCATAACGAGCAAAAATTTTAAAAACTAATAAGCATACTTAAAATTCATAAATACAAATGTATTCTGACAGTTTATGGGTTAATTATATTTTCTAGTTGCGAAATTTCTTCAACTTTAACACAAAATAAGAAAAAAGTGAATTTTTAAAAAATTTGTGAAATTTCCGGGTTAAAAAACAGCCGGTATCCCATTGGAGAAACCTTAATCATACAAAAAACAACGACAAAATTCAACTGTGTTTAATGTTGAAATAATACTAATCGAACTTATCCTTGCAGCACTGCAAACAGCTGTTTTTAATGATAACATAGAGATATAGAGAAATCGGGCAAAGATTTTTAAATCTGGACTTCTTAGTCCTGAATTGAAGTGGCGTATTCATCCCAGTCCGAACTGTAATTAGCAGGATTTTCGTCAGAGACTGTCATCATCTTAGTTAATGTGTCCTTCTTTCCAGCAACTCCTCCAATCAGTGTTGCCAGATTGGCCTACAGGTAGCGGATTGGGCTACTTTTTAAGTGCCCTCGCTACAAAAATTTCAAATTGGGCGACACGTTCCTTTTTGGGCTAGTGATAATTATCTTCAGGCTACAAATCTTAAAAATACGCTACTTTTTTATTTTCATATATAAAATCGCAACACACNTATCATTTTATCATTTAAACTGAATAATTTTTATTCAATTTAAAATCCTATTATTTCATTCAATTTAAAAAATTCTATCCATTAATAAGAATCATCTTCAGATTAGAAAAATAAACAATATTTTACATTCTCAGCCATGTCCTCTTGAACAAAGTATTTAAATACATTTATACCTTTGAGTTTAACTTTCTTTGTCACTTGAAATACAATGATACCAAGTGGACATGCATCAAGAGCAAAATGCAGTGAACATGAAAAAAAAAGAAAGACACAGTTAGTTTCACAAAGTCATTGCAGGCAAATATATAGGAGAATATAATCAGAAGAAACTAAAAACAAAAATGAAAAAACTTTAAAATAAAAAAGTTTTTAAGCTTTTAATATCGTTTACAATTTACACATCAAAATGCAAAGCTAACATCAAAACAATCACAAATACAATACACAAATCTGAGAGAAACATAACTTCTAACAAATAAACATTTTATAAGCTATTGATGAATTAAAACTGACACACTGCATTACATTCTATACATTAATATAAAAAACTGTATTTTTCATACATCAATTTTTTTCTATTAACAAATAAGAATTTAAAGTAGACAATTATTTCTAGAAAGTAGCAAACAACAACAATTAGAAAAAGAATTAAATGATTATATAAAACAGATGTAAAAAATGGATAAATCTAAATTTGTTCTCTTCTGTTTGACATGCTTTTCACTTTGTTACTATAATCAGTTTTTAATAATCTACGTAATAATTCATATAATACTGTTATATAAAAAAAATAAAATATTTTTGCTATTCTCAAAATGAAAGTAACATTTCTATTAATTTCTAGTTAAAAAAACTTTTATAATTGATTTACTAATAAATTAATGTAATAAAATATGATTACCACAACAAAAGTCCATTCTATTATGAAGAAAATCATCCCACAGGCCCTACGATCAAAGGAATAATTTCAGTTTTCAGCCCCCAAAACAAATGGTTAACATGAGGCCCCATAACAAAATTAACTAAATTTATGATATAATTTTTTCATTTATCTTTCATTTCTTTGAACAAATTACTATTGAATATATTTAAGCTGCTATAAGGGACAAACTAGCCACTGTATTACTCAGCTAAATTAATTAATGCACCTTTAACAGTTGGTAAACTCTGAAAAACACTAATGTTTTCAATGCAATTAATGGATCATCTTCAGGCATAGGTACAGTGACCATATTTTTTGGGGGAAAATAAAGGACATATCGAAGAAAATCAAAAAATACCTTATAAAATTCGTAAGTTTATAACATTTATTATGAAAATAGTAGCATACAACAATGCATACATTAAAATTTTAAACAATCTGAATTATTACACATACACACATTTAAAAATTTAAATAACATTAATTTTGATAAGCTTACTTTTCAGTAGAATTAATTTTTTTATAGCGCTGTTTCACGCTTTAAAGTCATAAAATTCCATACAGTTCATTTGAAAGTTGTATTTGACAGAAATACATGCTTCTAATGTGCTTATTTTTAAATGGGTTTTTTCATTCGTCCGCATATTATTCAGCAATGAAAATATTCGTTCAACGGGGGCATTAGATGCAGGAAGACAAAAAAAATTNATTAAAAATTATTTTAAATTTTAAAGGAAATTATAATTAAATACTTGAAATACTAAAATATATTTTATAAAAATTTGCATTAACAATGAATGTCAAGATGTACACTATACAGTACACAGATTAACTTACTCCACGACTGTATGTGCTGTACAGTACATATGTATGTAAAACACTGCATTTTCGTGGTCCTCATCGAATCATTGACTAATGAATGAAGACCTTATACCATTAGATAACCAAGATTAATCAAATTTGATACCCACCATTTGTTTAATTGACTATTCAGTGTAGTAAAATTATTGTAATTTACCACACTGCTTCATCACCTAGCAATATGTTTTACATTTAGATTGGCGTTAGACATTGTAGAAACAAAAATCGAAAATAAAATTAAAATTCATTTTGCATCATAATGATTATGCTGTATGTTGTAAGGCAACTTCCACTACTTTGTTAACAGACTTCCTGTTATTAAATATTGACATAAAGAATAACTTGTTCAGAACTGTTATTAGGATGACATCCCTAATCTTTTCCTCAATTGTTACATGTAATGTGTTGTAAATTTATAAGTTTATTTGCTTTACTTTCCATACTAAAATAAACTAAATATAATTAAACCTCATTTTGGGGAACAAGAAAGTAGTATTGTTATACCCAAGTTATTGTTGTATTGAGATCTTGAAACTTAAAAACTCAGATCATTAAGAAAGTGAAGATTAGTTTAAATATTAATTACTACAATCTACTACAATTTACAAATAATACTCTCTGAGTAGTTCTGAATTATTTATTAACCAGAAAATTGTATTACATTGTTTTGAACCTTACGTTGTCTTAAAAAAAATTTGTTATTTTGCTTTGACCCATTTTTTTTGCAAGCTGTGTTTTACAAATGCCAAATGAACTTCATCAACAGCAGCTAGTTGTTTGTTTTCAATTCCAGTGACTGTGGTTACCATGTGTTGAATTGTTTCCATTTGAGCAATAACTTCTAAGATACTGGGGCGTTCACATGGAACTGATTCTTCTTCCTCTTCCTCATCTTGGACATCAGTCCCTAATTCTACCAGAATTCCCTCATCAATGCAGTCTGTAAATAAATAGCGAGGATGTGGCCAAAGCGTTCATCTCTAAAATGTGAACATCAAATGTCGAGTGCTGCTCACAAGATAACAGCACTCAATGTTCAACATTCACATTTTAGGGATGAAAACTTCAGCTGCAATCTCACTAATATAGCTCTTCGTCGACATAAACACATTCTTCTGCCACAATGTCTACACTTGTAATACTGATATATTTTTGGAGTAGTTCCTGGCGATATCTGCTTTATGACACCAAAAGCGGTAAACATCATCACAATTAGGTATCTTCAGCCATTTCTGAGAAAGATCCATGTTTCCATCTGCTACACTTCATGTTGCCACCTTTTCAAAATCACTGACCTGGACAGCAGGTGAAGTTTGTTTGAACAGAAGTTCCTGATGCATGCACAATGTCATTTTGCAATGCGAAGAATAACATGCATGCCAGTTCTAAATCAGTTACAGTTAGGGACTAGGGAGACTTGGGTAGGAGTAACATAAGTAACCTAAATTAAGAAAAACAACTACAGATGACTTAGCTCTATTGGATATTGGAGACGTGTACAAATACGAATCGTACAAGCAAAACACAAAAAAGTCGACAGGTTGCACACGAAATTCCTAGACAAAATAAATAAATAGTTCACCCGGACAGTGAGTCGATTCCCAGACTGTCTGAGTGAAAACCGGACTACACTGCACCTAATTTCCTTTGTTTCTTTGAAAATGTTGCTAGGGTTGATTGAGAAAAGCCATACTTCTTTGCAACTTCTATTTGCTTCATTCCACTATCGATATCTTTGAATGCTTCTAAACTTATTTGTTGCAAGGGTTCACTATTTGTTTTTCTTTTGCTTCCCGCTAGTACCGCTATTTTCTTCTTCTTGACCACTAGCTGAGTGCATGTAGTGCATTAGTTTCTTTGACCAAGGTACTAAGTTTGGTCTTAATTTAATTTGATCATCCATTCTTTGAATAACCGAGAATTGCAAGTGTCAAAAAGAAGACATTAAAAAGTTTAAATACATTTAATGTTATTATTTTTATTCAGTCTTACCTAACTATACAGAGTGTATATTTTTGTAGCAAACAAAGAACAAATACAAAACTGCAATCAAACACGCTGTAACTTGTAACACATCAAGTCACCTACTTGTAGCCAATAGAGATATGTAAGAATCCCGTTTTCCGAAAATTCCCGTGGGAATGGTCAATATGGAACAAACTACTAAGTGCAATATGGGAATGGAATGGAAAAGGGACAGGAATAAAATTCATAGAAACGCAAGTCACATATCACTTGTCTAAACAGACGAAATTACTTTTCAACCAGTTGTAGGATAGACAATATATGGGCGACTTACCGTCCTTACATGTCTTCAAGAAAAAAGCCGTTAGTGAACACCAATTTCATCTTAAATCTTAAGGCACCCAGAATCTAATCCGGACGGATCGAAAACCCCAGGAATTTTGTGTCGGGAGCCACCCATCCCTCACCAGCCGGTCGCCCCATTGTGGGCCTGGCCGACCTCATAATGGGCTCGCTAATAGAGGCCCTCTTAGTGCCCACGGAGCAGAAAGAGTTTTAAAAAATACCAATTTCTGTGGATTCAAAAAAAGAGGACAAAATTATTTTATTTTACTGCATTATTAGCATTATTATTGCTAGTATTATTCCTCATATCTAAAACTGATATAACAAGAGATTTTTAAAACATGACGTCATTTCCTGTTTAGCAAAAACAAAGTCTCTTGTATGTCGTTAAAGAAAATTTTTATTTCTTCTTATTTATTTTCAGACATTTTCGATCGTGGTTACATACTATGTCACCACAAGTGAATAACTTCAGATGTTACTGAGGATAAACAAAAAAGACAAGTCTGATATGAAAATAAGGTAGCACAGCCGCAGCGTTTTTTTATTCAATTGTTAACGTTATGGGCAATTTCCTCATGCGCTGATATTTGTTATCCTTCAAATACAACAATGGCATCATATCTGAAGATTAATGTGAAGAAATAAAGATTTTCTTTAACAACAAACAAGAGTTAAATCTTCAGAGACTTCGTTTTCGCTAAACGGGAAATGACGTCACGTTTATTAAATTTCTTGTTTTATAAGTTTTAAATATGAGGAAAAATACTAATAATGCGGTAAAATAAAATACTTTTGTTACACAAAAAGAACTAAAATCACGAAGGTTCCAACCTGCATTACGTAGCCCCACTGCCTCGCCCATTATTCACTCAACTATCGCATTTTTTTTTTTTTTTTTTTTTAAGTTCCAATATTTCATTTCGTATTTCCTGAAGATGGCTTAAATTTATGCAGAATATTTCGAATATTAATTTTAAATCCACGCACTCTTTTCGATAAGAAGGAAGAAAGCGTTAATAAGTTTTCAGAAAATGGAGAACGTGTTTGGCCCCCAGTGGCCGAGTGGACTTCGTCTCCGCTCTCTGCGTGGACCAGTCCTTAAACACTGGGCGTTCGTTTTTGGTATGTTTGATTATATTTATATATTGTGTATTTTTTGTCTATTTTTAATAATTTCTTCCTGCAATTTTTCTTTGTACACATCTTTTGAATGCCCCGTACTTTGTTTATCCGTTAGTTCAAAATTTCCCGAACGAAACTTTTTAAACTATATTTGCATATTCGAAGCTTAGGAGCATCTTCCCCATAAACGTTATGAACCAGTTTTACTATATGTACGGCGTTATATCCTTTGCGAAATTCCTAAAGAGTAGCATGCTGGATATGCTTTTTATCTGAAGACATTTCAATTTATTTTATTCAAACAAAATATGAAGTTTATTATTCTAAATCTTCTGATATGAAAATACAATCTCTGAATTAGCAATAATGTGTCAAACTTCACGGCCGTTACAATTAAATCACACGACTATGTTAAGTAACGACAGTTGTTAAAAATAAGCAAAAACTTTGTGTTTAACTCAATATAACTTTTACTTATTAACTATGGAATCCGAAAAGGGTTGGAAACAACAAAGTCTAAAAAGAAGGTTGTAGCATCGACAATTGAAATTAAAAAGGGACTTATCGCGAAACATGAAAGCGATACACGTGTGGCGGATCTGGCGGCCATGTCGACGGTGTGCAACCAAATGCAATTTTCATTATATTATATGTTATTTATGTATTTTATTTATTGTTTACAAGTTTAATTTATTATTAGAACATGTAATTATCTCATTTTTACATCAAATAATGTGTATTTGCAGTTTTAAATTTATCGAAATGGGTATTGTTCGAGGTCGGAGAATGAGTTAATTCACTTTCCATTACTTGTTATGGGAAAAATTGCTTCGGACTTCGAACGACCTTCTGGGATGAATTAAGTTCGAAGTACTGTACGAGGCACCACTGTAATCTGATGATTAATGTTGGGAAATTGAGGTGCTCCTCTTTTCGTTATTTGCGCAGGGGCTGTTTTAAAGTATCAAAAAATGGTTTTTTTATTAAGTTTACAATCATTTGAAGAAGGTATTAAAGCGGTAAAAAAAAGGGAAAGCTTCCGCTTTTTTATCGCTGAGCACTTTTTATAGTTTTACCAGTGGCGTGCCGTGACATTTGATGATAGGGAAGCTGTGTTTCTGTAAGAAGCCGACTTCCAGGGACAGTCAGTCAGTGATGATCTAGGGTCCATTCGTATTCGATAAGCCAGTAAAAACCGTAGACTTCTTTAAATGTATTTTTAATTAATAAATTATCTAACGCACTTAATAAATAAGCAAGTTTAATATAATTACCTCCGTTATATTAGATTTAATAGATTCTCCATGCCCTCTAAATGCCAATTCTTGCTTTGATAACATCTACTAATTTAAATATAATATATCTATTAACAGTAACTATCTTGTTATAATTTTCAATATTTATTTTATATTGTGTACTAATGTTAAACTCTATTCTATTTTGATTTCCAAATTGCTTCAATTATATGAGAGAGTCGATGTGACATTTACGATTTTCGTGTCTTTTGCCAGCTTTACTAAAATTATTTAAATCGTCAAAGTCATTCTTATTCCACAAACTAATTTCTCAATCGCTTTTCGTGTGCCAAGTCAGCACGTTCGTACATTTTACCTTCCCGGCTGTTATATTTAACAGAGACAAAGTATGACGATCAGTTAAAAAAAAACCCCTGAGATTTTTACATTTTTGGACCCAGGGGACCTTGAAACCTTGAAAAATGTAAAAAAATTGGAGTTTATTTTTGTATGTATGGATGTTAGTGTGTATGTGGGGGGTACAATTTTGTTCATCCACTTTCAAGCTTAGTAACACTTGTGTCTTTTGCCGAAAATTTCTGAAATTTTGAAGAGAGTTCTGTGTATAAGTGGCACTGATGCTATTTACTTTTGATGGTTAAAGGTCAAGGTGTGGGAGCTAGAGACGGTCATATATCATATCTCAAGTGTGGTCGGACTTAATGAAGATTTTATTCGTTATTGAGTTGCAATTTGAAAAAATTGTAGATCTATAAATTCCCACTGTAATCCGTCCGTCCTTCTTTAATATCGAGAATGGGATTGGCTAGATGAAAGACGAGACCAGATATGGAAGGCTTAAAGGAAGAAGATCCCGATTAACTGTATGCGAACTTCCAGGCTAGACCAGAAGTCACGTGAATTCAATTCAAACTTTTCTTCTGAATATAGTTAGATAGATGACCAGCATGACTCAATTGTTAACAGGAAAAGTATGATGTACAGGGGCTAGAAACTATTCATCTGAGATGGAGAGCATATATTTTAAATTAAATAAATAAAAAAATATGATTAAAATTTGCAGCCCGGCATTGTGACGATGTCACAATAAATAATTACTCGTTAGCATTTGTAATTTTTATAAAACTCATCACTATCCTCAAAATTAAGCTTTTTGCTGTTTTATAATAATTAATAATATAAAAAGTTTTTAAAATAAAATCTTATAACAGATTGCGCCACACACAATTTTAACTTTTTTGTCTTTTCCGACAAAAAAAGTTAATTTAAGCAACTCGTTGCTAGATTTTTTAGTTGTGCAGTGATGCTTTTTTTTCGATGACACCAAAGTCATACGTGAAAATTACTTTTTATTATCAGTTTTTTAATATTTAGTTTTATCGTTTTAAATAATGTTTTGTGCAGTAAAATCTTATAACAGATTGCGCCACACACAATTTTAACTTTTTTGTCTTTTCCGACAAAAAAAGTTAATTTAAGCAACTCGTTGCTAGATTTTTTAGTTGTGCAGTGATGCTTTTTGTTAGGTTTGATTTTCGATGACACCAAAGTCATACGTGAAAATTACTTTTTATTATCAGTTTTTTAATATTTAGTTTTATCGTTTTAAATAATGTTTTGTGCAGTATATGCACTGTAAAAAATAAAACTTTCCTACCTTAATAAAATATTTTATAATTTTTATTTTAAGATAAATATTCGGACCCGACAGGAAGTCAAGATGAAAAGATAGGATAGAATATGATTTTAAAAAGTGCCTTAATTATAAAATAAACGAATTATTTTTCAAATCAAAAAATATGCAAATGCGCATTGTATCTCTTGTAAGTACTGTATAAGTTTTTTTATATATATATTTGAAATAAGTAATATTAAATATAATTGTTATAACATAATGTAAACATGGATAATTTAGCCAAGATTACAAACCATACTCTAAAAAAATTTACAATGAATATTAAAGTAAGCAATTAAGTGTGTGAGATGAATAAATATAAGATAAGATCATTGTATCCATATTATACAGTAGCTTTATTTTAAAACAGGAAGGAAAAATGACAGATGGTTTTGATGCGTGACGTTACAAGTAGTGTAAGCAATGTTTCGTCGGCTAAACATTGTTAACAACAACGTCACGCACAAAAGGTGACAAGTTAAACATAGCATGCTACTGTCTTAATAGAATATCGATTAATTTATACTGGGCATACGCAATAAATTTTTGTAATTTATAATAATCTATATCAACTAAATCGTTTGATTAAAATTCATAATATTAATGAAATCAAAAAAGCATGCTAAGCTATTATAAGAAGTCACGTTCTTTAGTTCTTTGAATAATTTTTATTTTTCCAATTATAATAGTATAATAATATGCAATAAATAATTTTTATGATAAATTCGATAACAATAATAATCTATATTAATAGAATACTGATGTTTTTTTAAAAAACTCTGAATTTTTTTACATTTTTTAAGTAGAGGTAGCGGCGTAAGTATACTCAAAATCCGGCAAAAAGTGGAGCGTTGCGGGTCTGAACTGCTTAGATGTTTCTAAAAATTTATGTTGTATTAATATTGCATATATTACCGAAATAACCCGATGGATATTAATTGAAATGATTTCTTCGTTCTATTTTCATGCAATATAAAAAAATGCTATTGGAAAATTAAAGTTTTATTTTTCTTAGATGATAAAGCCTTCAAAATATTTTTGCGGGCCTCAAAATATAGTAAATTAATTAGATACTTCTTATCTAAGATTTTTATTCCAATTTTTCCTACACATTCCTTTAAATATTTTTTGCAATGTGCAAAATGTATCAAATTTTAGATTTATTTAACATTTCCATATTTTTCACTGAAAATATTTAAGACTAGCTGTTACCCGCGGCTTTGCCCGCGAGGATTTTGCAAGCAAACTCCATTTATATTCAGTATTTCAACAACCATAGTAATTATTATATAACACCTAACGCTGAGAATGATGAGAATTGCCGAGAATCAAACGAACTGTTTTCAATTTGATCAATTTTCTGGAACGTTTACAATCGTTCTATAATCGAACCAATATGCAATAACAAATTCGAATTTAAAACGGTTCGGACATTTTTAAAATCGAAATAGATAAAAATATTTATAACAATGTCTGAAATGTTATCAATTTAATACACCTAAGTACTCAATGAAGAATAAACGTAGTTGAAAACAAAAAATCGCATCTAAAATAGTACAGTAGAAGCCGTTTTTCCGGATAAGCTTTAGTGCTCTCCATCTCACCCCCGCGTGAGAATTTCGAAAAATTCCTTCTTAGTGTGCATTCCCATAGCATACCCTATTAAAATGCAGATAAAAACAAAAAATCACATCTAAAATAGTACAGTAGAAGCCGTTTTTCCGGTCAAGCCTTAATCCTCTCCCTCTCCCCCCCGCTGGGGAATTTCGAAAAGTCCCTTCTTAGTGCGCGTTTTCATGACATACGCTAACTGTGTACCAAATTTTACCTCTTTAGGTTCAGCGGTTTGCTCTGGGCGATGATGAATCAGTCATTCAGTCAGTCAGGACAAGTAATTTTATATATGTAGATGTACTTCAAAAATTAATTGAAGCGCACGGACTCAAATTGCTGAAATACGTATTGCGAAAAATTTAGCATATGTATCTTAATCTATATAGGTTAACGTATTATACGTTGCATAAAAAGACCCTTGCACAACGTTTATTACATAAATTAAGGAAGTTTTAAAATAAAGATAAGAATTCACTGCATATGCAGAGTGACAAGTCGCTTTAATTTAGTGCCCATAAAATGATGTAACGTGAGTTCGCTCTCATGTCAGGAACGAAGTTCTTCTAATTAATATATTTATTAATTGAGACGATAAAAAATATATATAAATCTATATATTTTAAATTCAGAATAAATTTTTTAATATATAACACCTTTATTTATTTCAAGTTTAAGGTTTTAATCTCAATTATCAAGTATAAAAATGTATTGTACTTCATTTTTAATCTAATTAACAAGTCAGAAAATTCGTTGCTTTAGTCAAAAAAATTAATCGAAATATATAATGAAATTATTTAGTTAAAATGTAATTACAAGGGGAAAAATACGGTAGTAATGAAGATATTTTAAAATTCTAAATATTTCACAGAATTTTTATGGAGTTTTAACAACGAATTTAAAACTTGTTCATAAATAATCTTAATGTTAAGGTATCCACAATTATTTGCAACTTCATTTGTTATCATTAATCATTCTGTCGTATACTAATAAATAACAGTTTTTAAACATTTTATTAAAGCTGTCAGTTATATTTTATCAAGTGATTTGAATAAAATGATTATGTAGTAGTTTCACATAAAATATAAATTATTACTATTTTTTAATTTATCTTACAATGTATTTAAAAACTGAAAGCTCATTCATCTCTCTTTTGACGTTTCTCAAAACATTTCGTATTCGAATTTCTAAATGTAATGTAAAAACCCATTTATTTAAATAGTGAAGTTGACAAATGACTAAATTTTTTTCATATGTGAAATATTTTTAAAATTCTATGATATTTATAAATTTTTTTTCTCGCTATTGAAAAAATAGAAAAAAGAAATATTGAATCAAATAAATTCCAATTCAAATTAAAATTACATTCCAATAAATTAAAATATAATTATTAAAGAATGTGATTACCGTATTTTACGGCATATAATATGCAACTATTTATCCAAAAAGAAGACTAAAAATGTGGAGTTGCAAGTTCCCACAGGCTAATGAATACAAACGGCCTTCAGTAATATTTTTACAAATCTTTCTGTATTCATTATTTTAATTTTTTAAGATCAATTTACTTAATCTGTATGTAATTTATTTCTTTATAGTTAAATACAGGGTGGTCCAAAAATCAGTTAACTGAGAATATTTTGATTATTTTAAAATAGTAAGTATTAAAATGGTTAAAATGGTTTAGAACAGCTTCCTATTATTGTTTAGACTCATTTGCTTTCGTTCTATTCAATCAGGATGCTATATTGCTTCATTTCACAAATATAAAATGAAGCAATGAAGTGCCTATGAAATATTAAATTGTGAATTTTGTTTAAATCAATAAACATTTCTTTTGAAAAATTTATGAAAAGCAATAAAAACCATGCAATTGTGAAAGAAATGTTACAGTGAAGTTTGTGGACGATGAATCCCACGTAAGTGATTTACATATTAAAGATTTGAAGAAAGAGGAGTAATAAATTATTCCCGAATTAGGATAATCAAAAAGTGCAATAACTGAAGATGTAGAAGGTTTAAATTTGTATTGAGCATGGAGAAACTTATTTTGAATAAATTTTATTACACTTTGTTAGTAGAAACTATATTAAAAATTTTTTACTTTAAAACTATTAACTAAATTTTGGCTACCTTATATACATTATGTACAGTATATACCGGTATATTTACACTCTTCTAATTAAAAGAACAATTTAATCATGTCTACTGATACTTGATAAATATTTGAAAATAATCATGAAATTCAATCCAAAAAGATACTTGATGCATCAATTTGGTTAAATGTTACGTATACAAATGTATGATGTTTTCCTATTTTCGAAAACTTAAAGAATTTTGACTTCGTAAGACATATTAAAATAAAATTATCCTATTAATATTATGTCCTAGAATTTCATATTCAAAGTGTAAAACAGTTTTTAAATTTGTAATACCTCAAATACTTTGTGATCTGATCCACAAAGTACAGTATTTGGAATTTACTGCGATCAAAAAGAAATGATACTGTATATACAAAAGATTTAGAAAAACTTAAATACAGTACTGTAGGTTATATGGAAAAATGTTCATAAGCTAAAATACTGGATTATTTGTCTACTGATATTGCTATTTAAAAATTTTTAGACTTTTAGAGAAAGCATATTTCTCTGGCATTAAATAAGAAAGAGCTATGAATTCTTCCAAATTGTTCCAATAAATAGTAAATAATTTTAAAATATTGTCAACGAAAAGTTATATGTTATGTTAATATCAATATTAAAAATTTGAAATCGAGACCGTAGGAAAGAGCTGGTCGGTTCGGATATGGCTGGATCACTTTTTGCTGCCAACATTACGAATACAATTTCAAATCACCTAATAACAAGCAACAGTCAGACCAAACCAATAGACTTTTCTATGGGGAGAAAGGATTATTCCTAAGATGTTGCTTCCTTCCTCCCCGACAGCAAATATATTTCTATCGAATGAGATTTAGAAACTATAAAGTTATAAAACAACTAAAAAATAATTGAAAGTGAAATTTTTATAAAGAAACCAGGAGACCATGACCGTAATCATGGCAACCGATCTTCGTTTTTGAGTTGTACCACCTTTCCACCTTACTATGGCATGTAAATACTGCCGTTTCATTTATCTATTCTACCGAATCTATTCTTTATGTTGACTAAAAAATTCAAATAAAATACAGTTTTAATTTATAAAATTAATTAACATTAACTAAATTTTATGGTTGAGAAATCGAAGAACTTTTTTATGCATTCTTACATTTGATTTTAATAATTACAACAAATTGATAGGCCAACTACGGTGCACCTATTAAACTAACAAATTTAAAACATCGATAGCTCAGAATTGGAAAGTAAATAATTTATTTTCATATTTAAGAATGATAAATTTCAAATAATAATGATAGGTTTAAAGTACTATTGATTTATTGTATCCATGTTGGAAGTTTATATTTGTAAGAGAGAATCGAATGAAAACATCACTTGCAAGAATCGATTTACGATCGTAAAAATAATGATTTTATAAATATTTTGCAATTCTGACATTTTGAATCTTTATTATTCTACATAAATAGAAAATTCAATAATAATTATATTTATTTTGCATAAACCATACATTTATATTAATTTTACTTTACTTATTTTAGTAATTATCAATTATATAAATAGAAAATTTTGTTCTATTATGTAATTTGTGTTTAATAATGTTTATTTGTAAGCCTATGTAATTTAAATACATTGGTTTACAAAATAAAACAAATAGTGATCATGTATTATCACAATGTAATAAAACGGGACAAAATGTGCATAATCTTATAGTGAATATTACAAAAATATTTAAATAGCAAAGTCAAGTTGTTAGTTAAAAAGAAAAATTATCTTTCAAATAAATAAATTAACTATATATATATATAGAAGTATAGTACGTTTATATATATATATATATATATATATATATATATA